ACCGTAATGGCAGGGCGTTCGTGAGTAAATTCAGTCAGGGGCTTGAGTGTAGGTCAGACAGCTTCTTCCAATTCAGGCCAGCTCCCAAGATGCTAACCCCTTGGTCACGTAGGGGCATCTAGAGAACGCAGATGATCATTTTCATTAGCAGCAGAAGTTGGAGGCTTCTGTTTTGTGGTAGGTACAGCTTGACCTCTGCAAAGTGAGGCTCAGGACTGGAACTGGGTCTGGGAATGTAGAGGAAGTGGGGGAACATGGCTTATGTCAGTGAGGGAGGGTGGAGGGAGTTATTGGCTGGATCCTGAAACCATTCTGAGACTTTTCTGAAGACAGTCACTCGGGGGTGACTTACTCAAGGCCCCCAGCTCTTACAGAGTCCACCCAGTTCAAAAATACCTCCCCACATTGCTTAGAAGTGATCCCTCAGCCGTCCTGCCTTATTGTGAGGATTAAATGATGTATTACATGCAAAGCTGTTAATACTAAGTCTGGCCCCTGTTGGTGCTCAGTAAATATTGTTTATTATCAGCACCATCTTACTGTTCTGTTTCACAATCTACCAATAAGAGATAGGTTCATTCCAGAAGTCGTTCACACCTCAGGGTGATTAGGTTGAACAGGTTACTCAGGAAACAGTTTGTTTTTCTAAGGCTCTGAGGATTTTGAGGCAACTGCATTATGAATTCTTAGACTGAACTTTGCAGGTGGACAGACTCTAATTAGAAAGCAGGACCTGCCACTTGCTAGTTTTATGTTGGGAACCTCACTTCCCTCATCTTAAAATAGGATGATGATAATGACCTTGTAGTGAAGATTTAGCAAAGTGAAATAGTCTAAAGTAGGTAAGCAGTCCTGGCACACACTTAGTAAGCCTCGCTTCCCTTCCTTCTGACTAAATGCACTAAGGAGCAGTTTGGGTTCATGTAGAAAAAGGCACAGGCCTGGGAAGAACATCCCATTCTCACCAAACCCAAGTGTTCTTTCTGCCTGACCCCACTTAGTCACAGCTGCACCGGGGTCTCCCAGCCCGCCCACCCTCCTCTCTTGGTCCCTCCTCAGTTCTTCTACAGCTCCTGTGTTTACTTCGCATGGCCCTGTACAGCACTGGCTGATCGACTGCATCGTCTCCCCTACCTGTAGGTTCCCTGCGGCTGAGCAGCGATTTCTCTCTCTGAATCTCTTGTGTTTAACCCAGTGCATGTTGTGCTGGGCCCTCAGTAGATGTCTCCATGCCCAACCTACAGGTATGGGTGAGCAGAGCCAGTGTTGGGGATGTCTGCCCATTTACTTGTGAAACCTTTCAGGAAAACTGGAACAGATTCTCAGGACAAATATAAGAGGGAAATACCTAGGAAAAAACCTTTAGCCACACTCTGTGAAACTGAACGTAGTGGGGAGATGATTTCAGAAGAGTGGTCTTTCCCTGCTTAGAATACTACATTCTAAACTCTTGGGGATCTTCAGGTTCCTGAAGTCCAAAGGTGTCCCTCGGATCCTATGGAGGACCTGGTTTTCAGGCCTAGGGCACAGCCAGAGCTACTGAGGAAAATGTTTTCAAACAATAGTAAAAGCAGAAAGGGCCTTCAAGATTCCAAGTCCACTTTCTTTATTTTTTTAAAATATATTTTTATTGATTTCAGAGAGGAAGGGAGAGGGGAGAGAGCGATAGATACATCAATAATGAGAGAGAATAATTGATCAGCTGCCTCCTGCATGCCCCACACTAGGGATTGAGCCCACAACCCGGGCATGTGCCCTGACCGGGATTCAAACCGTGACCTCCAGGTTCATAGGTCGATGCTCAACAACTGAGCCATGCCTGCCAGGCATTTTTTTCTTTATTTTCCAGAAGAAATTGAGAATGGGAGAAATAGAGGCTCTTCCACTTCTTTTCAGAAGGGCTTGAGATTCCTCCTCCTCACTTTCATTGGAGAAAAAAAAACAAAAAACTTCCTTGCCTTTGAGTCATGAATTTGCTGTCTTCTCTTAGACCCATCAGGATGTTCACTTCATCGGGCATACAAATGTCTATTCACTATGTTGTCTATCTGAAACTAATATACTATTGTATGTTAACTGTAATTGACTAATAATTTTTTTTGAATCAGTGCGGCATTCACACCACAGTCTCAGTTCTCCTGTTGGGGGCACTTTCGAGGCCTGCAGTTTCTGGCTCTGCTGATCCTGTACTGGACAGAGGCACAGCACACTACAAAAACTTTCTATTTCCGAAACACCTTTCTTCTTGGGATGTTCTCGTAGTGATCACATCTGAGCACTGGTTACAGATTATTGCCACCGCTCTCAGCTCATCTGAGACCCAGAGAAATTGCCAAAACTTGTCCGAGTCACAAAACTCAGTGCTCACAGCAGGCTCAATCCATTTTAGCTCTCATTTTCTGTCCTTGGAGCCTCTGGCTTCTATGTTCTTGAAGAGGATCTCTGCCTGGTTTTGGCACATTTCCTGAATCAAACTGGAAGACTCTGCCCAGGAGAAAAATAGAGTTTAGCTTCAGATATATTTCACTTGGGTTAAAAAGACAGTGTTTATCCCCTCACACTCTGGGCCACATATATCTGGAGAAACGCTAAATCCCGTCAGCCCCCTCTCCCTGCTTCTAATAGCTGACAAAACAGTAACCTGGAAATGGTTTTGCCGTGTGTGTGTGTGTGTGTGTGTGTGTGTGTGTGTGTTATGATCTACCCTTCCATTTAAACAATTTGCAATAGAGAGGAGTTTGAAGTTACGTTTAATCATTGCTTTATAATGAATGTTACTTAATTAAATACTACTTTTAAAATAGGCTTCTTCTCTTTTTCTGTAATTGCATTACTTTTTTGTGGGGAGGTTTTGTTTTGCTCTTTAACCTGATTGTGTGCATTTGGAAAGTACCCTAGTACAGGGTATCCGAAAGCAGAAAATGTTGGCTCTTTTCCCACTTTCCATTCTTTCTTCTGTATGGTTGCCAGATTCCTTTGGGAAATCATCATTTGTAAAAGGTCAGGAGTAAAAGGAGGGGCATTCTTTAGTGTACAGTTACTACTAATTAGAAACTAAACATCTGTAACCATGTCAGAGTTATTTGTATTTAAAAAGAAACATTTATACACAAGAGTCCTTTCGGTAACATAAAACACACTATAGCGCAAAATGTGTGTATTGGAGGAGTGGGGGGACGGGCAGAAGAGAAAGCTTAGGACAAATGACTGTGCTGAGTGAGGTCATTTGCTAATTAAATCTCAAAGCATTTTCAGAGTATTTTCTTTTCTCTGTCAAATGAAGTTTTCTTACTCACCCTCCTAGCCTCCCTTGGGCCAAAGCAAACATTTTACTGCATTTGCCAATTACAGATTAAACATTTAATCATTTTAGGGTTGGCAGAACCTAGTCAAGACCATTGGGAAATCTCTAGCTACCTACTGTAACCTTAGCCTTCACTGTCTTCCCGTAATATGATGTAAGGGGAGCTCTTCCACCTGAAAGTGTGGGCTGATTGACCTATCTCATGGACCTACACTTTTAGCGGGGAGAGGTGGCAGTGTTTTGACTTATCTGACATCTCTTTCTCTCCTTTCCCTACCTCCTCCTCCTACCTTACTTCCCATGATGAAATTCTGCTTAGATCAGTCGTTTTATATAGAAATTGTAACTGTACTTTTATTGTCTTATTGAGATAAATGTCGGTGATAGGTGTTAGAAGCATTTCAGTCATAGGCCTTTGTTCCTCTACATGCTAAGCCTAAACGGCCACCTGGGCCTAATGGCTCTGATTTTACCAGGAATTCCTTCTTGGAATACAGATCAACTTTGAGAAAAACAAAAACAAACAAACCAAACAAGAGCCCATCTCTTTGTCCTGCTCTCCTCTGCCATCCTTGTCTTGGTATTTGAGACATTTCTTGATTCTAAGTTGAGTTATTTTTTTAATTGGATGAACGATCATGAAGTCTTGAGCATTCTAGTCAAGAACTTCTCTAGGGTAGGACTTATATTGGGCTTTCCTCTCAAATAATATTGTGTCTGGGAGGCTCTCGAGTGCATAGTTTCAGCAAAATGGTTGTGGACTCTCAGGTTCTGAGTGTTTACAAAGTCAAGAGGCCCTTAGGTGATGGCCTGCCTTTCCAATGACTTTTGTAGACTCTCAAAATACCACTTGTCCATGACTTTTACTTATTTAGGAGCTGGTGGTTTCTATTCAAGCTCTTTGGGGTGTGAGTTAGCCCAGAGGCAAGGATTTGGTGACTTGAGGATCCACTTTTGTTCTCCTGGCAAGTTCAGATCATATAGTCTGCCATTTGGCACTCCCTAGTCTGAGGTGACCCACTTCTCATTTAAGAGTCTCTGCTTAAATCAGACACATCTACCTATACTTTGAGCATCTACCCTTGCTTTCCACTGCACCTGGTGGAACAATTGCCTGGCTTCTTTTAGTATGCTTAAATTATGCTGGGTTTTCTAAGTTACATTTTCCTCAGAACCACAACCCACAATTTTATCCTCTTGTAGCCATAATGTCAAGATTACTTGCTTATCATTTTTCCAGTACTGTCTTGTGCTTTTGATTGTCTTTTCAAATGTACTTCTTATCTTGCCAACCAGAGTATAGGCTCCTCAAAGACAACAGTGTCATTCTCATGGCACTTATCATGGTGCTTTTGTTTGCTTGCTGAGGAGTAAGCCATTTTTGCCTATTGTCTTATTCCCAAAGCCTATCTGCATTTATCCCTGTGATAGAATCGTAGATGTTAATGATATTTATAAGAAAAGCAAAGTTGCCTATAGAACTAACACACACACACACACACACACACACACACACACACACAATCATTTGGAATAACAGAAATATAAAAAAAACCCCACCATCTTTTGGAATAAAGACCAATTCCATTATCCCCTCACCTTCACTATCCCAGCCAGAGCTAGGTAGGTCAGCACATACAAAGGCATGGATGTGAAAGTGAGTATTGAATGGTCTTGTGTTTTTATTTCTTTCCAGATGCGGTAACTCACCTGTCTACCGCTCTCGTGAAATGGCAGCTCGTGCCTTGGTTCCATTTGTTATGAGAGACGAAATCCCCGCTACCGTCCAAACTCTGTTGGCCAAACTCCCCAATTGCACTGACCAGTGTTTCCGGCAAAACCATATTCATGGGACGCTTCTCCAGGTAAGTAAAGCTGCTTTGTGTGACTTCTGTCAAACGCCGCAGGATGAACTTTGGTTTCTCATATAGTGTTAGCAGGTGAAGATTTATTGCACAAACTTTTAACTTTATCCATAGAATGTTTTCTATTGCTGAAAAAACAAGAATTTCCTAGGTGTATTTTTTTTTTATTATTACAATCATGAATACAGTGTCACACTGTAATTCTGCCAGGTCATCTCTTGCATTAAATCCTGTTTTCTACAGTATGCTTTCCCATTTGCACTTACCTCTCTGAACCAGATAAAATTGTGTCTTTTCCACAAGTATGCCTGCGGAACATTCTAAGCTGCTCCTTGTTCAGGGTGAAATTGTGACCATTCTTTGAAAGAGAGATTAACCCAAGAAGTGCAAGGAGAGTTGTACATGGAAATATTAGACCCTGCTTTCCTATCTTCTCCATGCTACAAAGGAGACTTCTATTTTTAATTAATAGACTTCTTATGGAAACTTCTTAAACCCTAACTATAAACTTGGGGACAGGTGGTATTGGTGAGGAGATCTGATGTTCACGTGTCTGCTGTGGTCACTCACCATTGCTGGGAGTGGGATTTAAATATTAGGTCATGTTTCTGATTTGTGAGCAGAATTGAGAGATGGCCTTGAGATTCCAGTGTATCTTATAAGCCAGAGGTCTACACTGCTGACATGTGAGGTCAATGGCATGGGATTCTGGAGCCAGGCTATCTGGGTATAAATCTCAAATCTAGTGCACTATCCGCACATCTGTGTCTTTGTTTTTGAGATGAGGATAATAGTAGTGTATACCTCATAGGGATTTGGTGAAGACTAAATGAATTAATATATATAAAGTGATTAGAATTCTTAGCGTAGTACCTGGTACATAATAAGAAATAGAGATATAGATAGTTATTATTGTTATTATCATTAATGAGCCTGTACTATAATGAAAACTAATATTTTTAGTAACTGATTCTCTCTAGGTGAGAATGCAATAAAAACCTATCTTCTTGCCTTCCTTCCTTAGTTGTTTGATATATTTCAACAGTATTCACTGAATGCCTCTTACAGACTACTATGTCACAGTCAAAACAGTTCCTGCATTAAAGGAGTCAAGGCCAAGAGAAGACCAAGAAATGGGCAACCATAATGTCCTGTGCTAAATACGAGGGGAGCACATAGCCGGGCCACTTGACTGGTCTTGGGGAAGTCAGGGAAGGCTTCCCCGAGAAAGTGGCATCTACTAGTAAGCACAGAACAGAAGTTAGTCAAGTGAAGGGGGGAAAAGAGTCTCCCATGCAGACAGAACAACTTGTAGAAAGGCTCAGGGTGGGTGAGAAGTCAGCCCATCTGAGAATTGCAAGTTTGGGTGAGACTGAAGTTCTAGGTTGGCAGATCTCAAACTGCTCTCAGGACTTCTTTAACCTCTTAAAAGTTACTGCGGCTACCAAAGAGCTTTTGTCTATCAATATTTAATTAGAAACTAAAACAGCAAATCTTAAAACACAAGATCTTACAAGTACACATTCCATTAGTCATTAGAGAGATATCACCGTCACATACCTGTAGCCTCTGGCAAACTCCACTATACACTTGTGAAAGAATGAGAATAAAAGAGGAAAGCAATGTCTTAGTATCAATTTGGAAAATGTTCAATCTTGCAGACCTCCTGAAAAGAATGTATGACCCCCGAGGCTCCCAGATCAGATTCTCTGGTCTATGTTACGTACATTGTGGACTTTGGTGCTTTCTTCAGTATAAACTCCTACGCACTCATCTTTCTTGGTTTTCACTATATCCTTGTGAGGAAGAGAGGAGCAGAAGTTATTACCTTGGCTTTAAAGATGGGACTCTGAGGCCCATACAAGTTAGATCTCTTGATGCTATCAGATTGCTGCTTCTTTGAAGGGAAGGGGCTGGCAATAATGAGTAATGCAGAACAGGCTTCTCAGAGATCCTGCGATTGTGCAGCTGAGTTACAAGGAATGCTCAGATTGTTAAGGGGAATTATCCATCAGATTTTCTTTATTGAAGATCCCTCTTGGCTGAACTTTGTCAGAAGAGGTGGGGTTGGAATTGCTCCTTTGGCTCTTTCACCAGTTACTCAAATGGGCCTCCCGGCCGAGTTTCCCACACACACCACCAGTCTGCCCAGCACCAATACATGGTTTTTTTCTCTGTCTCTGGGCTGCATTTGACATCCTCAAATTTACTTTTTCTGCCACATAAAATATGAAACAGTATGGGAAGGTAAAAGCCCTCTGATTCTGGGTGGTTGTGGCTCTTGCTCTTGTTCCTGAGCGCTGGAGACATGCAGGGCTTGTTGGAAAAAAACAACAGTATGGGTGTTGGGTGTTGGGTGTTGGGTATTGTGCTCATGTTTGTCAAACAGATTCCTGTCTTTACCAAGATTGGTTTATACTCTGGTTGAAGAAAGGAAGTCAAAAGCATGTGAAATCTTTTTGTCATGTCCATTCGGGTGTCTCATCTGTGTTATAATAGTTCTGTTTCACCCTGTTGTTCTTTATGGGGAAAGATTATGGGGTTAAGATGGGAGGGGGGGGTCTCTTTTCCTCTTTCCTTTCTATAGCTTATGGATTCCTTCTCCACATAAAGCCACCTTTGGAATCAGTAAAAGGCCTGCACCTGGAAAAGTGATGTTAGGGATTGAAAGGAATGATAATCTCCATGGGACTTTCAGAGCCAGCTAAGTAAATATAAAATTGTTGTTTTTGCAAAAGCAGGAAATCATTTAGTAATCAGAAAACAAATTCTTTTACAGAACATTTTCTTGAATTATACATTTTTACTTCTTTGATAAATGTTTACATAAATATATCAAACCTCAGAAGTATTTTTATAGTATACCTTAAAAACGAGAAATATGCCGATCTCTGAATGTTCTGGGGGCTATGGAAGAAAGATTCAAATGTTAGAACATGCAAAAAAAATAAAAACACATGACATTCATTTCTTAATCATTTTAAAAACCAGAGGTTCCTAATTGCAAGGTTGAAATGGACTGGAAGTAACGCACATCAGAGAAGGTGAGATTATGCAGCAGGTTCGCAAGAGCCAGTGGTAAATGACATTAAAGCTCAATAAAGGCTAGATAAGAGCCATGGACATTACCTCATTTGGGAACAACACTGGCAGGGCCACCCTGTCTTTTAAATAGAATTAACTGTCTGTTTTTGTTGCCAAAATTCTGCATGTTGGGGCCTTAAGATTATTACTAGGTGACTTATCAGTCCCGAGAAATCACACTGGAGTCCAAAAACGTTCTTTTATGTTGAGGAAGAGTTTGGCCAGCAACCACAAGGAAAGATTCATTCTGATTCTTGGGTGCTTACCTCGCCTTTTGGTGTTTCATAAGGAAATATATGCCATTTGAAGTAAAAGTTTGAATTTTGAGGGTTTTTTTCATTTCCTGTCTATTTTGGTTCTTTTTCTAATGGTATAAACACAAAAAGGTGGTCCCTGCTCTTTCTCTAAGTTCTTGTATATGGGTTAGGTACAGTGGGCAGTTGAGGCTATTTAGCTACTGAAAAGCAGAAAAGCCACTTTTGCATTTTATCTGAGCATTCTAGGCAAAGGTGTTCTTTTTTTCTTTAGTTAATGCAACTAATCACCACAGTTCTTCACATCCCTTTGCTGGTATTAAGCGTTCTCATTTTCTACCAGCAGAATCTGTTGAACACTTTTCTAAAATTCTTTTATTCTCCCCAAATTTGGAGCCTGATTTCTGCACTTTTAGAATTCTGAGTGGAAAAGGTCCCACTTTCCTGGCTGTGGAGCTGAGCAGCAGAGCTGCATACTTGGGTTGACATGAAATATTAGCCAGGGATGCACTTCAGACAGCCCAGGCCCACGCATTTGGAAAGTTTGCCATAAGAGAAGTAAAAGGAACCTTTTGAGCACCTCCTGCGTTCCACGTGCATTGCATATGTGATTTCGTTAAAGCTCTCAGCAACCAGCAAGGTAGGTGCTATTCCTGCCAGACACACACACACACACCTCCCCAGTCCCCCAGCCCGGGCTCTGACGAGAAAACGGCGATCAGCCTGAGAGACTGACTTGTGTCGAGTCGCAGAAGTAGGCCAGGGAAGAGAGAACATGTTAGACTCTGGAGCTCATTTTCTCTTTAAAACGTGCAGCCTCTCCGATAGTCCATGTGAATCCAACTTTTGGTGCTTAGGGAAACCAAACCAAGAATCCGTCTTCACTCTGTTGTCAATTCCTTGTCACTCCATTGGTCTCCTTAAATCTAATTTGACATGATGCCACAACATTGGAAACAAAATCCATTGGTATTATATGGAGGGACAGAGGAAGTCAGTGAAACCCCCAGCAGCTACAACTGGTAAAAGGCTTTTAAAAGCACTTGTTGTGCTCTAGCTGGGTAGCTCAGTTGTTCAGAGCATTGTCCTGACACCCTACGGTTTGGGGTTTGATCCCCAGTCAGAGCACATACAAGAAGCAACCAATGAATGCATAAATAAGTGGAACAACAAATCAGTGTTTTTGCCTGGCTGGTGTGGCTCAGTAGTTGAGCATAGACCTATGAACCAGGAGGTCACATTTGATTCCCGGTCAGGGCACAAGCCCGGTTTGCCAGCTCCATCCCCAGTTGGGGCATGCAGGAGACAAACTATCAATGATTTTTCTCTGATCATTGATGTTTCTATCTCTCTTCTTCTCCCTTCCTCTCGGAAATCAATAAAAAATATATTTTAAATCAATGTTTCTCTTTCTCCCTTCTTCTCTCTAAAAAATCAATAAATTTTTTAAATTTATTAAAAAGCACTTACTGCACCTTCCCTCCCTCTGCTCTTCTCTTTCTCATCACTTCTCTTAAGTCTCCCATTTAATACTCCTAACTTAGAAATATGGAATCCTGCCTTGGGAGCTAGGTTATAGCCAAGTTCACAGTTGCTATACCTTCTGTCATCTTTAAGGGTTATGACAAAACCTCTGAAACATGGGCACCTGCAGGAATTGTA